GAAGACCCTGGATTTGGGCATAAAGCAAGGTCTTGCGAAGGGGATCATGATGGGGTGCATTGGAATTATTTACTTGGGTTGGGCTTTTGAGGCTTGGTTTGGTGGTTATCTGGCGACTGAAAAGGGACAAAAGGGTGGCTCCCTTTTTGTGGCCTCAGTGAATGTCATTATGGCAGGAATGTGAGTTATTGGTTCTTTAATTTGATTGCATTTCAAGTCCGTCAGTTCAGTTGAGTCAGCTTTGGGATTCATTTTATTCATTTGTGACCTGCAGGAGCGTAATGAGTGTATTGCCAAATCTAGCATCCGTTGCTGAAGCAACTGATGCTGCTACTCGTATTTTTGAATTGATTGATAGAGCTCCTCAGATAGACTCAGAAGACAAGAAAGGGAAAGCTTTGTCTCATGTAAGAGGGGAAGTTGTATTTAAGGCCATCCATTTTTCTTACCCCTCAAGGCCTGATACTCCAGTCTTAGAAGGATTGAATCTTACTATTCCTGCTGGTAAGACAATTGGTCTTGTGGGTGGCAGTGGTTCGGGGAAGTCCACAATCATTTCATTGCTTCAGAGGTTTTACGACCCTATTCACGGTGAAATCCTCTTAGATGGGCACGCAATTAAAAAACTTCAATTAAAATGGTTAAGATCACAGATGGGTTTGGTTAATCAAGAGCCTGTCCTGTTTGCGACATCTATATTAGAGAATATATTGTTTGGTAGCGAAGGAGCCTCAACGGACGATGTGGTGAATGCTGCCAAGGCAGCAAATGCCCATGATTTCATTGTTAAGCTACCTGATGGATATGACACCCAGGTGAGCCCATATGTACTGAAAACTCTTCAAAGAACTTGCTTCATCCTATATTCTAGATTTTTTATTTTATTTTTATTTCTCAGGTTGGACAATTTGGGTTCCAAATGTCTGGCGGGCAAAAGCAGAGAATCGCCATAGCAAGAGCACTTATTAGAGAACCAAAAATCTTGCTGCTTGATAAGCAACTAGTGCTCTTGATACCGAATCTGAAGGAATTGTGCAGGCTGCAATTGATCAGGCATCCAAAGGTCGGACAACAATCACTGTTGCTCACCGTCTCTCCACAATCAGAAAGGCAAAACTTATTGTTGTTCTACAAGCTGGCAGAGTAGTTGAAGCAGGTTCACATGAAGAACTAATGCAAACAAATGGCAGAAGAGAGGGTGGAGAATATTTCCGGATGATGCAACTGCAACAGACGTTAGTCGTACAAAATGAAGATCCTGATGATAATTATGATTACAAAGTCGAGGGTAAAAACTTGTCTAGAACATCTACACCGGGCCGGCACAGTTGGAGGTTAACTGCTCCGGGCACCCCAATATCAAATGCATCTACTCCAAGGCGAATCAGCTGGAGGTCAACTGCTCCAGGCACTCCAATGTCAAATCTTTCAAGTCCTACTACATCCATTGGCACTCCATATTCCTACTCTCTACAGTATGATATTTCTGAGGCAAGCGATGAAGAAGACTTTGAAAGCTATTACCCTGTTCCTTCTCTGTGGAGGTTGCTGGAGATGAATGCTCCAGAATGGGGCTCCGGCTTGATTGGATGTATGGCTGCAATAGGCGGAGGAGTATCCCAGTCAATAAATGCTTATTTTGTGGGATTACTCGTGGCAACCTTGTTTGGCACAGACAAAGCTGCTGTAAAGCACAAGTGCACAACCTTGTCCTTCATTTTCCTAGGCCTTGCTGCATTCAATTTCGTCACTAGTCTCCTCCAGCACTATTGTTTTGCTGTAATGGGCGAAAGCTTGACGAAAAGAGTGCGGGAGAAACTGCTGGGGAAGCTCCTGAGTTTCGAGATAGGGTGGTTCGACGAAGATGAGAACACAAGTGCAGCGATTTGTGCAAGGCTAGCCACTGAAGCTAACATGGTTCGGTCCCTGGTTGGTGATCGCATATCTCTGTTGGTTCAGGCATTCTTTGGATCACTCTCTGCTTATTTACTGGCACTTGTCCTCTCATGGAGGCTAGGCCTTGTCCTGCTCGCAGTACAACCCATAGTTATTGGAAGCTATTATTCACGGTCAGTTGTGACGAAAAGCATGGCAGGAAAAGCACGCAAGGCGCAGAAGGAAGGAAGCCAAATAGCAAGCGAAGCTGTAATTAACCACAGAACCATAACTGCTTTCTCATCCCAGAAGAGAATTCTTGGCCTCTTCAAGTCCACCTTGAGAGGACCTAAAGAAGAGAGTGTTAGACATTCTTATCTGTCAGGCATTGGCCTCTTTAGCTCTCAATTCTTCAATACGGCATCAATTGCTGTAGGTTACTGGTACGGTGGGAGGCTTTTGACGGAGGGGCAGATTGAGGCACAACAGCTCTTCCAGTCATATCTGGCAGTTGTCTTCTCTGGTTATGTAATAGCAGAGGCTGGAAGTATGACCAGCGACATATCTAAAGGCAGGACTGCAGTTCAAGCTGTGTTCAAGATCATGGACAGGAATACTGAAATCGATCCCGAGAGCTCTCAGAGATCAACCTCTAAAAAGGAAATGAGGGGCAAAGTTGAGCTGAAAGATGTCTTCTTTGTGTATCCAACACGACCCGACTCAATTATATTGAAGGGCCTAAACCTGAAGATTGAACCAGGAAAGACCGTAGCACTTGTCGGGCCAAGTGGGTCTGGAAAATCGACAATCATTGGTATCATTGAGAGGTTCTACGACCCTTTGAGGGGAACAGTCTTAATTGATGGCAAGGACATAAAGGGCTACAATCTGAGATGGCTGAGATCTCATATTGCATTGGTGAGTCAAGAGCCAAGCTTGTTTGCAGGAACTATCCGGGAAAACATTGCCTACGGTAAGCAGGATGCACAAGAATCCGAGATAGAAAATGCTGCACTTCTTGCCAATGCTCATGAATTTATCAGGTGAACATAAAATCTTACTCTCTGATCCCTGGTTTTTGAGTAATTCTGTTTACAGCTCCACAAACCTCAGGGTTGTGACAATGATGCATTTATTTTTGGTATGGTGCAGCGGAATGAGCGAGGGGTATGATACATATTGTGGAGAAAGAGGAGTTCAGTTATCCGGCGGCCAGAAACAAAGGGTGGCACTTGCCCGTGCCATACTGAAGAATCCGAAAATCCTTCTGCTGGACGAGGCAACGAGTGCCCTCGACAGTTTCTCGGAGAAGTTGGTCCAAGAGGCACTGGAGAAGATGTTGGTTGGCAGAACTTGCATAGTGGTAGCTCACCGGCTGTCGACCATTCAGAAGTCGGACAGCATTGCCGTGATAAAAAATGGTCAAGTTGCAGAGAAAGGCTCACACAATGAGCTCATGTCGCTGGGACAGGAAGGAGTGTATTATTCTCTCATCAGACCACAAGAAGCAGCGAGCAACAGCTCCCGTTTTCATTGATGAAATCAGAGATTAGACCATGAACTTTCTTGTCCGGACTTTGTTAACTATTCTCAGCTCCCTTGTTCTTTTTGTCAAATCTCAGCTTAATATATCTGTGGTATAGGAAGTAAATCATCCATTGTCCTGAAGAAGCTAGGATTGTAAAACTGTATTGAAAGTTGTTTTTGAAAGTTAGCGGCAACCAGTATGATAATTTGTGTTAGAATTGTCTTTCAACTATTTTATACTTTTAAAAATCGCCCATTGATTTAGACTCGAGAAGGAGGTTTTTTCCAGCTAGTATGGTTTCACAAAATTGAACCATCAAGGACTATAGTACTAGCTTGAATGTTGTGAAAAATTTCCCCCCTCATATTAATGATATCCGTGATGAGTACTAGTCATTTAGCTAGACCTCAGTAGAATCATTAGCTTTTTTTTTCTTCGCCAAGCTAAGATATGTCAATAAACAAAGAGAACCACATTACAAGATTGACAACAGCTACATAGAGTTGTTCATATGCAATCGAATTATCGATAAAAGAGCATATTTTGTCACTAAGTAGGCAACTTTATCAAATGCTCCGAGGAGCAAAAAGACATTACACAAACAAAATAAGTTGCAAAAAATAAAAAATAAAACAATAAACCAACTCCAAGATAGCCCCAATAATGAGTGTGACATAACATGTTGAATATACGCAGTTACGATTTACCACAAGATGCCACAACTAGAAAATTAGTCTCCAGACCAAGGATTGTAAAATCGCATTAGAGGTTGTACCAGATCAATCCATGGTAATAAGTTATTTTATGCTTAAACCATTATTTAACCACGATTCAACTGTTACATACTCGTAAAATCTTATGTACTGATCTCAGGTTCGGTAAACGATCTGCCAGACGGCTTGGATGGTAAGGTATACCAAATACTAAGAGCAAGTAACTTAATAGTTGGAAATTCGAGATACAATCCTAAAATTTATCCAAAAAATAAAAAAGCGAGATTAGATTAGCATAGTAAGTTTCTGTATAGGGTTCTACCTCCATTTTAATTACCAGGATATTAAGATCATGATTTTCGTAGTCGATTGTGATTAATAGAACAACGGATTCCACAGTTTATTCTCCTCCGTAACTTAAACAGACAAGTGAAGTGAGCCGAGGCGAAAAGAGATAGGCAGGCAGCCGCATCACCAATGATCCATTACCTCCGGCAAATTAAACAAACAGAGAGATTCCACACATCCAAACGAAGACAACACACACTTACAACAAAACACCGGCCAAAAGACCAGCACCAGAACACTTGTTGACAGAGTCCACAAAACCCATCTTTCGTTATCCAGCTTTGGGCAGGCAGTGCTTAAAACACAAAGAAGAGATCACAAGTTTGACTCGGCCTAGGTAGCCAACTAAGAAAGGTACAGCAGTCCGGCTAGCAAATTTTACTCATTCCACCATGCATATCAGCAGCCTATATAATTAAACAATCACGATTTACATTCCAACCCAACAAAAATCAGTTCCTGAAACAGATCGAGTGGTCATATAATCAAAAGCCAAGATCATGTCTTTTCTTGTGCTGCAAGTATCAGTATTTCTCATGGTGGTTAGCTTGGGATCAGTCAACTGCGAGGTGGACGTTCTGGATCCAACTTACGGATTCACAGAGCTGCCCCTCAACACTTCCAATCACCGCATTCACACGCCCTACGACTTGCCGGAATCTCAACGGTACAGCCTCGTCGACGGAGTCCACAAGCTGTGGGTCTACTCGACGGACAGGCCACATTACAATGGCAGCACCACCGAGCCGAGATCAGAGATCAAGATAGCCGTAATTAATAATGTTCCATATATTTCCTTGAGTTGATTAATTATTCTTCTTATGTTATATAATACTGACGCGAATTGAAATGAAACGCTGCGTACAGGATTATACGTACAATTCAGGGATTTGGCAATTTGAAGGGCAGGGTTACGTGCCCAAAGGTACCAACGGGGTGTCCATAATGCAGTGTTTGGGGGAAGCAACGGTCGCGCAACCAGCTTGATGTTGCACGTTTACAATGGCTCCTTGAGGTACTATGGATCGGCGGTGATCGTGCCGGAGATCTTCGACAGATGTTTCGGTTGAACGTGATCCACGACGTGGAGGCGGCGACGCGGAGGTGTACGTTGATGGGGTTCTGCAGCTTCGAGCGCCGGGCGGAGGGGACGTCTCACTATTTCAAGTTTGGAGTGTATGCGCAGAGGAATGCGTCGTATTATATGGAGTCGCGATGGAAGGGATTCGTTCTGTACAAGGAAAATCAGACTTCTGGGACTGAACAGGGTTATTAGTGAATGTTTTTTTTTAAAAAAAAAATGGGTTAGTGATTGTTTGGTAACATTTGTTCATGAATTCGTAAGTTGGGATTCTAAAAACGTATATGAATCCAAAAAATCTCTCATGAAAAATTCGATGTTATTATGCATCGATTATTTCGTGGATTTTGATGTGGTTCATCAATCTAATGATATTTACGTTTCGGTGACATAAATTATTTCAAGAGAGGTTTTTATTAGTTTTTCCTATATATCAAGTAAGAAAAAAGAAGGACAATGAAAGTGAAGAACATAGAACACCGTACCAACTGTCAAGAACCAGTTGCTCCCAATAACTCGAGTTGTTGGGAGAAGGTTATGCTGGATCTTATGCCACTCTCTAACACGCCCCCTCAAACGAAAGCCAACCCATGGGCTTGAAGTTTGCACAGGCCCACCATACCATGTGCTTGAAAGACAACGGTTAATATTGGGGGTCGTGGAGATTTGAACACATGACCTTTCGGTTCTAGCTCTGATACCATGTCAAGAACCAGTTGATCCCAATAACTCGAGTTGTTGGGAGAAGTTCAATCGTGGATCATATACCACAACACTAACACGCCCCTCAAACGAAAGCCACTCACAAGGGCTTGAAGTTTGCACAGGTCTGAAGACAAGAATACCATGTGCTTAACAAATGGGGGTCACCGGGAATCGAACACAAGACCTCTCGGTCACAGAAGGCTCTGATACCATGTCAAGAACCAGTTGCTCCCAATAACTCGAGTTGTTGGGAGAAGGTTATGCTGGATCTTATGCCACTCTCTAACACCAACCAGCCACCAATAACCTCCACCTTTGGCTATCAAAAACGTTCGAAATCCAGAAAGCCATTTCACTCTTTTTTCCGTTACAAAGTGTCAAGGAAAGGACGATTAGACAGTTAGTCACGGTGCTAAAATGTTAAGTCATGACAAATGTATTTGGAACGCATTTGATTATTTATGTAATGAACTCAATTAATAAAGCCGTATTATTGATTAGTTGTGTGGAATATTAAATGATTCCAAATAATTGAAGAGAAAATGGCAAACGGGGCTGGAACAAAACAAAATGCTCGTTTTTTTATGATTCGGAAAATTAATTAGAAATATGTTCTTATCATTTAGGCTTTTGGTACGATAACATAATTTAATTTTTAACTAATCCTAGTTAAGGAATGAGTTATCATGCATCCCGGAATTGGTAAAGGTGACAACCATTTTGTGACAACTTACTTCTCCATCATTTGTTTTTGTATTTATGAAATTGACGATCAGAATTGAAAAGGGTAGTTTTGAACCAATAAATAAATATATCACATGTGATTACTACCTTTTAAATATGACTTTCCATATCCCTCTCTCCCCAAACCCTAAAGCATATTTGTTTCGATGGCGAAACACGCGTGCTTAATGCGCTCTGTTCTCAAGAAAACAAGAACACAAGATCAAAAATCAAATGACCGTTACTCGGTTCACACCTCTCCCAAACAATATTCGAACGAGGGTGTTCGACGAATAACGAGGAACCGAACAAGGAGGATTTCTAAGTTACGATACCTCTACTCCTATGGAGGTTCCTCAGGAGAGCTCCGTGACTACAACTACGACTACGACTACGTCTATGACTTTGCAAAGGAGGTCTTTGACAGAGCGGTTCTACGAACTAGAGAAAAAAAAAGGATAAATCTGCGACTGTGCAGTTTGTGATTTGATTTTTCCGTCTCGAGCTTCTCTCTCCTGATATTTATACCCCATCGTCTTTCGTAGTCGCAGTAACTACCACATCGTCTTTCGTAGTTGCAGTAACCGCCTCGCTCCGTCTCCTATCTCCCACGTTCTCCATTGCTCTTAACCGTGCGGATAACTTCCACCCCAATTACGTAACTCCCACGAGTGTGAAACCTCTCTGTAGAGACTTTGTCAAAAGAAGTCGATCCAACCTTGTACCTATCCACCATGGTTCAATAATCCATCCCGGATCCTAAAGCCAAATATCAGTGTTCATAACAAAACCACTCCGCTCCGAACCTTGCTACACACCGCTGCACTCACAATATCAATGACCAACATCGGTGGCTCATGGCTTACGGCGTTGTTCTCTACTAAACAATATCGTACTTAGTATTGCGACATCGCCGAATTCCCACCTTTGATGCCCAAACTTTATTGAATTCACAGTGTTGTTGAATTTCTCAGCATTGGACCAAGCTCATCAATGTCGCAGAACTCACGGCATTGTTTTGGTCTAAACAACATTGCCTCTTGCACTCCCAACCTGCTCACAAATATTTGGTCGAGATGATAGATCTTCTCCACAACTATGTTGGGCTCTCACGGTGTTGTTTGACACCTGCTATTGAAACTACGTTGTTTTAGGTGTTTGCTACAAACAAATCCGTTTGCCAAGCATAGAAATTTAGCCAACATGGATACGGAAGTGATTGGCCAATTTCAAATTCCAAATGCAAAAGGAACAAGGAATAAAGCAACATAGCTTAGCAAAACTGTACGTGCCGTGGCCAATTTGGTTCTTTACTAGCCAATAATGTTTCATGATAGTCTTCAATGACGTTGGCCTCGCGGAGTCATGAACTTCCCATCCTAAACTCAAAATATCACTATCAAACTCGTTTTAGACCAAACAATGGCGACACGATGTTATTAAATACAAACCCGCACCATTGTTCTCTGCTAACAAAATTGTTTTGGACAAAACAGATCGCTTTCCTATTCCATGGCATTGTTAAACTCTTGTGACATTGTTTTTTTAAAATAAAACGATGTCATTTCCTTAGTATCGCGGTGTAGTTGCTTTTGCAGTGGCTATAAACCAAAACACAACCATGTGGACCAAATTGGCCGCTATGCTAAAATGGCTTATGAAAACCAACCATGCGCCATGTATTCAGCCCACGACATTGATTAATGTTAAACGACATTGTCTTCCATCCCCGCTGTGCTGAAGACTTACTCACGCTTTGCGGCGGTGTCGGTCGTGAGGCTTGCCTCACAATGTTGTTTCCATGAAACGATCGCGTTTTCTACTATTGTGACATCGTTTATGTGCAATTTCTCGCGACATTGTTTTTACCAAACAATGGCGTGCCTTATTACAAAGGTACCGTTGGGACTTGACTTCCCGCGGAATTGTTTTGTTTTGTTAAAAAACCCTGTTTTATTCTCTTACGACGATGTTGGTCACATCACCCATGCGACGTTGTTCTCTACCAAACAACGTTGTTTTCTAGTCTTGCGGTGCCGTTGGGCTTTAACTTCTCGGCGTTGTTTGTTTTACTAAACAACACCACTTCTACTTCCACATCAGTGTTGGTCACGCACCCATGCAATCTTGGCTGAATTCTCTCATTCTTCGGGAAGGAATAGAGAGCACTCCTTTTTCAATCCCAACACCAACATTGCCAAGCCGCTCACGACATTGTTTTATATTAAACACTGTCGTTTTCTAATCCGCGATATTGTTGATACCTCTTACAGCGTCGTTTTCAACTAAACGACACCTTCCAAAATAATCATTAAAAATATTAATTAAATGAGTTGGCCTTTCTCGAGAACTCGGCCAACACGAAGTCATTTTTGAATTAAACCCTGCCGCTTTTGGTTCCACAACCCAGACTGTCTAAACGACTTTGTTTGCTAGTGTCGCAGCATTGTTAGGATTTTGACGATGTCGTTTGCTCCGTGACATCGTTAAATCCCTCCGCGGCATTGCTTATCACTGAACGGTGTCGTTTCTCTCCTCTTCCGACAAGGACTAAAAAACTCATTTTCCAATCCCAACAACAACCTCGCGAAGGCAAATAAATTCGTAGCCTAGGCTTGCGAAATTTTTTTACTGGTCGTTTCCATTACCGCGGTACCATCGAGCCTCTTTGCAGTGTCGTTTAACCTTCCGTGACGTCGTTTGACTCCAAACGACACCGTTTTTGTTGTTCGTCATCAAACTAAACGTTGAGAGTAATTAGTGCGGCATTTAATTTAGTCCAAAATAATTTTAGGCGTCAACAAATATCCCCACAATATGGTTTATAAGAATTATGAACCAAATTCTTAACATAATCCAAATCACCTAAAATTCTTCGAAGCCAATTTTGGCCCCATGATTTGTTCAGGCTACCCATGCAAAACGTCTAGATAATAAATAAAAGCCGAATGATGAAAACTGTTGCTCCATTTCAAATTTCCTGCAACGAGAGTGATTATAGGAAGGACATTTTGGTCTTCACAATTGCTTATTTTCTTATTTATTTATTCATAAAAAAGGCATGCACTGGGATTCAAACCTTGGTCTCTTTAAAGGCAAGCAAAGATCATAACCAATCACACTAAGTATATTTATTGTATCTATTTAAATTCAAACATACACGAACCTAAATTATGAAAATCATATGACTTTTTTAACGATTAGTTGGCCACTGAATCTCCCGTAAGAACTTATTTGGTGTTTTAATACTTTGATTATTTTAGTTGTAGTTTAATACTTAATTTAAATTTCTATCTATTTTATAAATATACAATAACCCTAAAATTGCAGCCCAAATATCACTGGTTCGAATATTGCATATCGAATTGCAATATTAAACATGTAGAAGCAATATCGACTTCTTAAATTAATATTATTTTTCAGAATTACTATGGAGAAATTATATCTTTGTGCAAACTATATGAGACTGGTTCTTTTA